GCAGTTTGTTTTGATTTGGTTCAATGTTGAACCACAACGTTTGCCGGTTGGCACTCACTGATGATCCTGAATACGATGCCGGCGAAACGTCTGGGAAGGTAACACGTCTACGGTTGAATTTTGGAAATGATCATGCAGACAATGGACTATGTGCGTTCCAATAATTCTTCCTACCAATATGACCATGTTGCGAAAACAAGGTCAAACAACCTCTCTACAATGAAAGGAGACTGCGACCACACAAAGGCCACACCATCTTGGTCTTCATACCTTAAATAAAAGTCGATTGATATGGCATATACAATCTTGCTTCATCGGCAATCCCACCATGGGATGTGATATGGCCTCTTGACATTCAGGTCTGCCCTGTGACTCGTGGTAACGTGGCGTAGTGGCTAACGTGTTGCGAGTATGCGCTGTTTTGCCATGGTTCGAGTCCCCTTAAGGGTGTTGATGGAACCTTGACGAGGTCGAAGTTGCGGTCCAGCTTGGATGAGAATACTTTTCAGGAAAGCAAGGCTGTGTGAAATTCAATGGAAATGTCATTTCTACTCTAATCATGGTGGGCACATTTCGACTACCCTTATCACCTCAGACGAGATGGTCATTTTGGCATGGATGCCATCATGTGGCCTGGATTGTACACAGTCATCAGAGTCTGTTGCGCAAGTTGATGATCATACCTGCCCTCCACATGGTTCTTTGTGGGGGACACTTTTATTTCGCATAAACGTGCATGATGTATAGGTTCTGTTGTCGTTTGGCTTTAATACTGCCTTCCGGTTTGCGCAGTCCATCATCCTTCCTGTCTGATTTGAGGTAAAAAAGGAGCTCGTGAGAGCAAGGCTTCAAGTTAACTCATAGTTGCTAAGATGAGCGCTCAACCCGTTTTTTCATTAGCAACCAAGTGGGATGTACCGTGGACTTGGTTTTGAAGCCGAACGGCTGCAGAAAAAGGCGATTCGGCCGTCTTCAGGTGAGATCATTCAACAAATCTGATTAGACGCACTTTTACGCGAAGTTATACTCTTCAGAAAGATGTAATATCAAAGAAGGCATCGAAGCCCAGACTCCCAGAGCTGACATGCAATCGTTTCGTCGATTTTAGCTCTCCGCTTGTTTGTCTGCATTCATGTATGCTCATGTGTGTGCGACATCTCATTGTTAGCAGCTGAGGAAGCCCATCCTCCAGATCCTTGCCGTGCAGAACCGCACTGCTCTTCATCCTGTGAGAATCGGATCGGAATTGATCCTCCCTCGTTTTTTCGATCACGGATCTAATAGACATACTTTCACAGATCGTTGAAAAATCAATTAAACCAAACAACCCCATCCGCCAAGCCCCATCTTGATGTGTACACCGAATCGAAGCCACTTCTATCCCGACACTCAGGGCCTGGCCAAAATGGACGGAAGCCCGCCAGAGCCCTGTTCCTCCGGTACCGTCTCTCTTTCCCACTCCACGAAGGCACACTAACAACCCCCACAACATGGGGCCTCCTACAACCAACCCCGTATCTCGCCACACGGGCGGCGGTTATGAGCTGAGTCTGCTGACGACCCCTTCGCCGGCCGACTGCCAATTCGAGCCCCATGTCTGTCTGGCGACATTTGGGTCTTCACCATGTCTCTAAGGCCTTCCAGACGGCAGCTGTCGACATGATCGACTGTAGGCAAGTCTTTCAGCCTCTCCACCAATCAGGCGCTCTGCTCCCCGGGGCTTCGCCCTCGGAGACACGAGGTCGGCCGAGGGGGCTTGACTCGTCCCGATTGCATCGGCGATTGGTCGGCGAGGTTCGTCTGAGGCGCTGCCGTAAATGCAAACCAACACGGGTCTCGTCACGGGCGAACACCTCCGGCGTACAGTTGAGGTGATCGCGAGGCTCGGAGCCGTCACTATGTCGGCTGCCGGGCAGTTACGGTAGAGAACTCTACCTTCTACTTTATTCACGTCCAGACCTCGTAACCGCGTTGTGGCAGCGAATGGCCTCCCACTTTTACATTGAGGGTTTTGGCGTGTACACTCTGGTAAAGAGGCATCACGGACACATGTGACGCCGTCTGTCCATAATCACTATCATGTGTTTGAGTGTGTGTGTGTGCGTGTGTATGCATGTGTATGCATGCATGCCTGCATGCCTGCATGTCTTTATACCAGAAACTGAACTTTTAGGTTCATGTTTCAATTTAAGGATTACCATAGTCGGAGTAATTTGTTCTACACGAGATATGGGCAGATGGCATCGAAAACTGAAGCCAACTTAGTTTGCACAAATTGTAGTCGAGTTGCAATGCCGCACCCCAGATACCTTTGTTGTGGTAACCTTGACTTCATGTGCAAATGCCCAGTCAGGAGGTTCAGTCTCGATTTTATTTTTACCAAAACTTCGCGCCGACCTTTCGTCAAGGTGGCTTACCGACTCTTGCTCAACCGCCATATATCCTCATAACAACTACTAATGCGACGAACCGAATGTAATTAGTAGTTTGTTCTGTTTCGATTCGTGCGAATTCAACTACTTATATACTCGCTTCTTCTTAGTGGTCTTTACGGGTATGTGAAGGGGAGCCGGTTCATCATGCTGATTAAGAGTGGGAATGAGATACAGCTTGATGACTTCTATCAATTGCTACGACGGACAGAGACTCAGTCACTTTTTATGGGATGCTTTGAACTTCGTCGATTGTAACGTCATGGCAACACAAAACAACCGCCAAACCAGTCTCGTCCGCAGCTCCTTTCACGCCAATTGTTGCGAATACCACTGTTCTAAACGAGACGTGGGTAATTTATGACTGAAAGATGCATCGAAGGGTGAATTACTTTTGTATGCACGAAATGTAACCGAGTTGCGCTGACTCTCTTCACATACTTTCGTTGCAAATTCCTCTTGCTCCGCGGTCGTTTGCCTTTAGTATCGTGCTCGAACTGAGGCAGTCCCGAGGCAGCCTCCTTCGGCTATGGTGACGACTACGAGGAAAACAGGGGTTTCGAACGCCGTATTAAAGCCAAACGGCTGTAGTACAGCGCGCATCAGTCGTCTTTTTCTAGTGACATCGACTTACGAATCTCTTCTTCGTGCACTTTCATAGAAGATAAAAACCTTGGCAACAATCTTATGATGATAAATGATTGAACTTTCGTCTCTCGTGTCAATGTCATTATTACAAAAACTTAAAGCCTACTCTTACTCAAGACGACTAATCGACTCTTCCTTACCTGCTAATATGATGAGACATCGTTCCAATTCATGTCGATCTTCAGTGGAGTCCAAACTTCAGAGTCCAACAACTAAGAACTGTGATCATTTTATCATCTATAAAAAAACTAATTA